ATTCACAGATGTAATATGATACTTCTATGGCATCGAAGACTAAAAGTGCATGGGAAATTACCCGATCAATTATTTTACGTATGATTGTTTCGAAAATTAGTCAGTGATTGCCAGATGTTCTCTTCGTACATAACTTATAAGGAGTTGCAAAGACAAAAAGAAGAAACATTTCACTACAATTTTCCTCTTCTTCAACTTCTCCCCGAAAAACGAACAAAGTTAAAAAAATGACCGCTGGAGAAATTGCAGTTAATCTTGCAGAAAAAGATATAATTCCTGTTGGGAACTCACGTGCAACTTGGCTGGAAATCAAAAATGATACAGACGACCAAATTCAAATTCAAGTGTCAGGAGTTTCAAATGGTGATTGGGACGGAGACTCTCGTCCAGATCATAAGTTTCAAGATAGTGTAATTCAACGCCATTCATCGAAAAAAGAACGTCAAGAACTGAACTCGAAAAATGACAGTGCATGGTCAACAATGACAGTGTTCTGCGATGGTAAAGAGCAGTTTGCTATGCGTGTTAATCAGTGGTGGGTGGGTGGCGGACTTCCAGAAGATACGGATTATACCAATGGCTACCACGTACGAGCAAGTGTCCCGGAACCAAATGAATTGGTCCTCTCAATTACAAAGAAATGAACAGCGTTGAAAAACAAAAGTCTAGGAGCATGTAAACGACGACTGGATTTTTGACATCTGTAACCCAGAATTTGTTTTTTACCAACATTTTGAGTTTTTTCTAAATTTATTCTTGAACTTACTAATTAAACTACCTATTAAAATCGAGTTGCCAACTTACATTCTCATTCGAGGATTGATTGCAGTAAAATAAATAACGCTTGATGTCTCTCAAGCTGTGCACCGAAAACGTTTGGGAAAAGTTTAAAAGGAAAAAAATTCACTTTTCAGTTTCTGTTTTGCAGCGTCGACAAAAATTTTAATAATAAAACGAAAGACACGAGTGCATAGCACATTCGTCGAGAAAACTCGCGAATTCTTCGTTAAACACGATTATTAAGACAAAAAAAATACAATGCGTTTATCAGAACATTTCTCACCGTCTAACTACGGAGAGATTTTGGTTATGTTTGTTTTCATTCAGTGAAGTTCCTATTTACGTTTTTTTAAAAGTACCACAAGATGAAGCCAGATGAGACATGTAGTATCAGAACGAATAACTTCGTAAATGGGCTACAGATGAAACGTCCAAAGCTATTTCAAGATGATATCATAGCATGTTCAAAATGGTTTGAAGAGTACGGATATTATGGTAAAACGAAATCAGGTCAAAATGATTTCCGGAAAAACGGTCTGCAACTGGTGGAGAAAGCGGGCGGGAAGTTGAACGATTGGGAAGCGTGGCTAAAGAAAACTGGGTTTGAGTGTCCCACAAAGCAAGTGTTCAAAGTTCGTTCGTTCAAGGCAAATCTGAGTGAAACGCTTCCTGTTACAAGGTTCTGTCGGTTTAGCAAGCCAGTTATACCTCTGTTTCTTTAACTATTTAAATAAATCGTGTAAGGTGGAAAATAGGGCTCATAAACTCGTATGGTATCACACAAAGCTTGCTATACACTAATTTGCATCTCTCCCCTTTTGAGAGAGTAAGAAACTATACTTACTATACCTTGCTCATAGATTATCGTGCCTTTTCTATTCTTGTTTGTTGTTACAGAGTAGAAAAATTGCCTTGTCAGCACAACGTTACAGAAAAGTAAGACAAGTATATAACGAGGAGTGAAAGAAGGCTAGGTAAGTCAGTACACGATTTATTTTGAAAATGTCTAAAACACAACTCCCAGTTGTAGCTGTAACTGGAGCGAAGGGAGAATTGGATATTACGGGGTAAAAAAAAAGGAAAAAGTACACTTTAATCGAAAAACTGGAGTAGATATCCTACTTTTCCTTCGTTTGACCATGTAAAATGTAGATAAGACCTACCGAAGCACAAGGTGATTATCATAAACTTAACTTACTTAGTTATATGTACTTTTTCAAAGTTATAAGTTCATTGTTTTTGTAGGTGGCTCAGTTGCACGGTATTTAGCTGAAACTGGAAAATATCAGGTAAGCAAGCGACGAGTTATGAACTGTGTCAGAGCAGAAGTTTCGCTTTCGAGAACAGTCTGATTCCTGGTCGAGGTGTCATTATGGTTTTTAGAACACCTTCGTAAAAAAAAGCCAGGTCTATTCAAAGTTCTTGACATTTATCAACAGTACCCTGTTCCTAGTTTTTCCCATCTTTAAACTTCAAACTGAGACAAGAAAAACCTGTCTAAGTAAACTTTAGGCCGTCTAAGATTGAGAACTCCCTTTGAAAGTTTTCTGTAAACCTGGGTAGGTTAGCATATTTCTTTTCAGAGTTCTTTTCCGAAATAACCGCTTAAGTAGGGCAAGCATTGTTCAAAAGTAACGCCATAAAATCAGCCTGTCTGCAATGAGGTTTACTGCGTTTAAAAGGTTGAGCTAAATGACAAAAAGAACTTCAACGAGATTTTGAGAGGCGAGGGAGTAGAAACTTAAAAGAAACTTAAAAATCTCATGCTTCAAAATAGTTTTTTCGCGAAAATTTCTGCCGGGAGAGAATTTCAAAAGCCGATAATGGAATGACAACGAAGATCACTGCTCCACAGCTCAGTCAACCTTCTGAACTAGACGTCCTTGGTGTTTTTTAGATAAACTGTTCGGCATATTTCCCTAAAAGAAGCGAGCCTTTTCCGAAAAGCTTATAACCTGACGTCCTTATGTAACCATTTTCAATCAAAACTGTATATATGAGAAATGCGAACAGTTCCTTCGTTCACTTTTTTGAACCAAATAATATTGTGTTCTAGGTGGGCTTATACACCCAGAAATATTAAATAAGTAGATACGTTTCACAAAGAAAAAAGATTCAGACGCCTAGCCACTTAATATATTATAGTTTCTATTTCTAAACAAAAATTAGCATATACAAAATCGAGATGATTTTTCGGTTGTGAGAGCCAGAATTACACTCAGCGAAGTTCGCGACGAAGAGAACATCTGGCAATCACTGACTAATTTTCGAAACAATCATACGTAAAATAATTGATCGGGTAATTTCCCATGCACTTTTAGTCTTCGATGCCATAGAAGTATCATATTACATCTGTGAAT